AATTGGTAACCATTTTGCAACAACTAATTCTCTAATGAAATTGTGTACGATTTTTGACTCAGAGTTTACGTTATCTATATCGTCAGTATAATTATTTTTTTACCCCATTAGGTCACCTTTACATGTTGTAGCAAGATTACAAACCCCGCATTATAAGGAGTCTTACATGTAGATATCTTTTAGGTGATCCGGCGTGTAAAATTCTTTTCACATTGAAGATGTATATATAACTAAACTCCTTTCACTAATATATACAAATTGTGTTAAAAAAAAATAAAAATTATGTCATTGTTCTATTTTAACATATTGTAGTAAGTAACCTGTCTTATTTTTCGTCTACATATGTAATTATCTTATAATGTAAACAAATATTTTAAACTATTAGTATATAAAAGTTATATTCATTGTATATTAGAGGGTACTCTAATCATTGGTTATTTTTTCTATGTTGTTACTAGGTTGTTATTGACTTCACAGCTACATGGTGTGGTCCTTGCAAATATATGGAACCAGTTCTCAATGACTTTGCTACTAAATATACAGATGTTGAGTTTGTCAAGATTGATGTTGATGAATTGGATGTATGAATTTCTTACCATCATCCCTTCTCTATTTTTTGTACTCATCGAGCATATGGTCACTCAACTAATAGTTATTATCTCAAAAAGTCACTTTTTTTTTTACTTTCTGAGATAATAACTATTAGTTGAGTGATTGACCATCTTAGAAATCAATCTCATACTCACCTAACGTCTCAAATCTTCGTTGAATTGTATACATGATATCATACTCGTCTAACGTCTCAAATCTTCGTTGAAATGTATACAGGATGTAGCTCAGGAATATGGGGTTCAATCGATGCCAACGTTCGTGTTTGATGAGGAAAGGGAAAGTTGTTGACAAGATTGTGGGAGCAGATAAAGATGGACTAAAGATGAAAATTGAAAAACACAGAGCTATAAATTAAACTAAAGTGTGCAACAAATGTTTGAGCAGAGTTTGCTGGAATGACACTTCCCTTTGTAGAATAAAAAATCATATGTTTATAACATTTTGATTGAAATAACTTAGCTTATGTAACTCATCTCTAGTATTATTGTAAACTTCATTAAAGAGGCTGATTAAAGCACTAATGTTACACATTTACTTGGTTTGAACAAGTGTATTAATTCTGAGTTTTGTGTTCTTAAAATGTCTTTTTCCAAATCCAACATCCTATAGTCATATAGGTGTGAATGTAGAATTTGAACTTTAGGGTTCGACATACCACTAAACCTACTAATCATTTGCATATATATATATATATATTAGTTTTCTTAACACACATAAGGTTTGAGTCAAAACTATCGAATTCACCTTAACTCTTAACTCATATTTCATCTGCTTCAGTTTATTTGTTTGGTTTTGATTTGACACGAAATTTAAAAAAAATAAAGATATGTGGATGTACCAGAATGTTATTTAATTCGACGGTCTTAAATATGTCACGTGAAAAGATATGTGAAAATACTTTTAAATATGTCGTATCTAGGGGTGTACATGACCGGGTTGGTTTGGATTTTTCAAATATCAAACCAAACCATTTGTGTAAAAAATTTAAATTTACAAACCAAACTAAACTAATAAAATTTGGATTTTTTTCGGGTTTTGCAACCTCGGGTTGGTTCGGGTTTTTCAAATACCAAACCAAACCATTGTGTCAAATTTTTAAATCTATAAATCAAACCAAACTAATAAACGTCGGATTTTTTCAGATTTTCAGATTTTTTCGGTAAAGTTTGCATACAAACATATAATTAACTTGTGCTCTAAAAAATTCTTTGGTTCAACCAAATACAATTATCTAAGGTGTTTCTTAAGAAAATAACACAAAATATGAAATGAGTACTGATGACACTAAAATATTCAATAAAAAATAATAATGAAATCATCATATAAAATAAATATTGCAAAGTCATTATGAAAATGATCATAATTTAAAAGTACTAAATCATGCTAAAATAAGTTTAATAAGTATTAGTTACATTACTAAATATTTAAGAAAAAATAAATTTAGATTATGTATTTTAATTGTCTATTTATTGGAATATAGTATAACATGTGATTTCCACCGAACATAAAGGAAAAAAACTCTTATGCCCGCAGAAACATGATATATGGAAAACCAATGTAAAACTAAAGAATAAATATTCAATATTATTGTCATTCTTAGTGTTGAATTGATTTTCTTTTTGTCTATTAGTATTAATTTGATTTTGATTTAAGTTTTATATAATTATCAACATTTATGAACTATAATCTTTATTGGACCATTCCGAATTCTAAGTTTTAAACTTGAAATAATATATTAAAAGATAAAAAACTATGAAATAGTATAAGAAATATTTTATAATTACATCAAAGTAAATATTTTTATGTATAAAATAAATTTTAAAATTACATATATAATGTCGGGTTGGTTTGGTCTCGGGGTGGTTTTTTTAGTTAAAACCAAACCAACCCAAATATAGTCAGGGTTTTTTTTCCAATACCAAACCAAGTCAAACCAAACCACTAGTCAGGTTTTTTTACTGGTTTGACTCGATTGCGATTTGGTTCAATTTTCAATTCGGTTTTATACACCCCTAGTCGTATCCTTCAAATATCTTAGTATCCATTTTACTGCATCCTAGTAGTATTCCTTTTCAGGATCAAAAAGAAACTTGCCAACAGTATCATCGACATGAGAAATATCTAGTCTAGTGTAAATTATAACATACATCAAACTACCAACTGCAGAGGAGTAGGGAATACAACATTTGTTTGATAAAGCTCTCTTCGCTTTCGTTAGTTTCACTAACTCATATGTGACATGTCCTAGCCATGACCTATTTGACAGTAATGAAGATTTTTATTTGTGAAAACAAAGAGATCTTAGAAATGAAGATTCAACATGTTAAAAATTATGTGAAGAGGTGCAACAAATTTATTATCTCAGAAATTCAGGTCAAGGGGGGGAATTGTAGGGTGTATGCTCTGATTTTCTTATCATAATTGAGTTTTTCCTTCTTTCTAAAAGTAAACACACTTTTTTCATATTAGTCATCTAATCATTTCTGTTGTAGGAAAAAGTTTTTGACTCTATGAATTGAGGATCATTCTTTCTCACTTGATAGCATTCATAATGTAGTCATGAGTGCTTGTTTAGGAAGTTAATTTGTGAGACACAAATGTTACACTGCCACTTGTGTTAATCTCTTTTTATTCAGAGTGAATTTTGTAAGGTTAATTCTCTCAATATTTTGTATTTTATTTCATATAGTGAATTTCTCATCTCCTCTCGTGTTGATGTAGGTCAATTGATCGAAGCACATTAAAGTATTGTGTCTCTCTTGTTGTCTAATTTATCATCTTTCAATAATTACTTTACTAGCGTCAGCATGATACTTGATTATTATCGGTCCTTACAACATGAATCATTAATTTGGATGAACTTTAAACGACAAACCCACAAGTCAAATAGAGGAAAAAGAGAAACCACATTCCATCAACTTTGAGTTCAATTAAATACTAATTAAAAAATGATTTACATGATGTTTTTCATTGGAAGAATATTTTATTTGTTATAACTAAAGGATCACAATGGGAACAGATGTTAACAAAGTGGCAGACTTCACTTTATTCACCAAAAATTGTTCCTTGACAATTGAATTGCACACTATTTTCATTGCAAAATTCTCTCATGAATGTCTTCTAGATGCTTTTGTGTTTTGTGCACAAGTACAATTACATATTCTAACAAGACAACTTTAAAATTACCCCACTGGATTCATTTATCATATACTATTAATCTTTTTCTCATGGATGATAACAGTGTGAGTCTAAATTCTGAACTTCTAATTATGAAAATATATATTATATATTGAATGGTATGAATCACTTTATATCTAACCGTTTAAATCATTAAAAATACATTCTTTTATTTATTTAGATCTTCAATATTTCTTAGCTTGTGTTAAATGATGAATTCTGAATTTTAAATTTATGAATTCTTTTTACTATTGTTCCGAATTCACGATACACATCTAATTGTTCAATCAAAACACAATTTGGAGCTTGGTTTCTTGAGGTGGTACCATTTACTGAAACAATGTCAAAACATCAAATTTTCTAAACCAATAAGCAAAATAATAATAGAATGTGTTTCAAACCTATTGGAATCATTAAATCACCAATTCAAGATCGTTTTGACCAAATGTTTATCCCGGTCAACTCAAAATTTTCAAATGAACTAAATATCCAACCAATGATCCAAACCACTCCCAAGCACATCAAGAGCCCTGCAAAACATTTGATGATGTCATGAATGTTGGGTATTTGCCCTGCGTTTTTTTTTACCATAAATATGTTTTCCTTTTTCGAAAAAGAAAACATAAAGTCTTTATACTTGGTTAGTAGTTTTCTTATAGGAAAAGGTTTAAGACTCTATAAATAGAGACTCATTCCTTCTAACGACTTAATCAACATTCTCAATGTAGTCCGAGGAGTTTTGAGAGTTTTGTTTAGGGGAGAATTTGTGGGACACAAGTTATCACTTGTGTGAACCTCTTTTTATTCCAAGTGAATTGTGTGAGGTTACTTCTCTCGATATTTTATACTCTCATATTTATATAGTGAATTGATCATCTCCTCTTGTAGACGTAGATCGATTGACTGAACCAAGTTAAATATGTGTCTTTTAGTATATTTCTCAGTTGTCTTCTTACTCATGGTCTTTCGAGGTCTGCTTTGCTAGCTTCCGCATCACACCTAATTATTTCGGTCCTAACAATAAATTACCCTGCATTAGAAGTATTGGACCAAACCACCAATACCAAAAGCCAAAGCAAAATAGCATCAAATCTCTCTTTGTATAATATAATGGTCTACATAATTGAGGAACATATTCTGTTGTTTTTACATTTGAAAAAGCAACACAGTTTAGTACATCAGCTACCAATATAAAAGGGGTCCAAACAAAACTCTGAATCCCAACATCAAGCCAAAGAAAATCCATCAAAAACCATAAGTCGAAGAGCAAAAATCTTTTACTCCAAAAAAAATTAAAAGAAAAAATGGGTGCTAACTACTCAACTACTTTGCATGAAGCTCATAATATGCCAACCACACCACAATTCAAGAAGTCTCAAGTCATTGCTTTCCACTCTTCAACAAAATGGAAGCTCCATTTTGATTCTTTGAAAGATGCAAACAAATTGGTAACAGTTTTGCACAAGAACTAATTCTCTAATGATATTGTGTATGGTTTTTAACTTAGAGTTTAAGTTGTCTATATCGTCAGTATAAGAAATTTTTTACCCCATTAGGTCACCTTTACATGTTGTAGCAAGATTACAAACCCTGCATTATAAGGAGACTTACATGTAGATATCCTTTAGATGATCTGATGGTGTAAAATTCTTTTTACATTGAAGGTGTATATATAACTAAACTCCTTTAAATAATATATACAAATTGTGTTTAAAAAAACTTATGTTATCATTCTATCTCAACATGTTATAGCAAGTAACTTGTCTTATTTCGCATCTAATTATGTAATTATCTTATAATGTAAACATGTATTTTAAACTATTAGTATATAAAAGTTATTGTACATTAAAGGGTACTCTAATCATTGGGTTCTTTTGCTATGTTGTTTCTAGGTTGTTATTGACTTCACAGCTACATGGTGTGGTCCTTGCAAATATATGGAACCAGTTCTTAATGACTTTGCTGCTAAATATACAGATGTTGAGTTTGTCAAGATTGATGTTGATGAATTGGATGTATGAATTCTTAACATCACAATCCTTATCTATATTTTTCATACTAGTCGAGTTGATTTCTCATATGGTCATTCAACTAATAACTATTATCTCAGAATGTCACTTTTTTGTTAACAAAAAAAAAAAGACTTTCTGAGATAATAACTATTAGTTCATTAGTTGAGTGATCGACCAGCTTAGAAATCAATCTCATACTCGTCTAACGTCTCAAATCTTCGTTGAATTGTATACAGGATGTAGCTCAGGAATATGGGGTTCAATCGATGCCAACGTTCGTGTTGATGAGGAAAGGGAAGGTTGTTGACAAGATTGTGGGAGCAGATAAAGATGGACTAAAGATGAAAATTGAGAAACACAAAGCTATGTTCATATAAGCAAATTAAACCAAAGTGTGCAACAAATGTTTGAGCAGAGTTGTAGAATAAAAATTCATATCTTTTATCACATTTTGATTGAAATAACTTAGCTTATGTAACTCATCTATAGTTCTTGCTCACTTATTATTGTAAACTTCATTAAGGAGGCTGATTAAAGCACTAATGTTTCACATTTACTTGGTTTGACCAAGTGTACTAATTCTATGTCTTGTGTACTTATAATGTCTTTTTCCAAATCCAACATCATATAGTCACACAGGCGCAAATCTAGAATTTTAACTGTATGATTTCGGAATACCACTAAACTTACTAGCCATTTGCATTACTGGGTTCAATTTTTTTTTTTCATGTTTAGTAGTTTGCTTAACACACAAACAAGGATTGAGTTAAAACTATTGAATTCACCTAAACTTGTAGTTGTAACACATACTCCTAATAGCATGATGGGCATCTAAACAATTGTATATGTTAATGTAATTATGTAGTGATATAAATTAGCATGATCAAATAGATTTGTTGTAGACTCAAAGGAATAAGTATTGTGATAGAATAGCTGATTTGGAGGGATAGCAAAGTAGATTTAGAGGGATTGAACAGCAGATTTGTAGAGATAGAATAGCTGATCTTTAGGAATAGGAATGACGAACTTTAGGGATGTGTAATCTTTATTCTCTCTATATAATGGAAACACTCTCACTTTGAGAGGCATTTAGCAAAAATGACATGGTATTAGAGCCTTTTTCAGTGCTTTGATTCTTAGTGTCTTTCATCTGTGGTTCCTTTCAAATTTTTTTTTGAAAGTTTTGGTTCTGCTTACTGTTAGTCAACAGTTAGTTCAAAGTATCTTGGAATTTTAGGCATCTTGGAATCTTAGTCTTGGTCATTTTGGTTATTTTGCATCATTACATTTCTATCTTCCTTAGCTTGTCAAGAACATGGTTGGGAAATAAAAATCAATTTTCAGTTGCTTCCTTTGATTGTTCTACTTGTAAATTAGGCAAAAGTAAAACTCTTCCTTTTCCTAATTTTGGTAGTCGTGCTGCAAAGTGTTTTGATGTCATTCTTAGTGATGTTTGGGGCATTTTCACCAGTTATTTCTCATGCTCATTTCAAGTATTTTGTGACATTTATAGATGACTATGGTCGGTTTACATGGGTGTATTTTCTTCGATCTAAATCTGAAGTGTTCTCCATATTCAATAAATTTTTGGCTTACGTTGAGACTCAATTTTCCACATGAATCAAAATATTAAGATCTGATTCTGGTGGAGAATATATGTCTCATGAATTCAATAATTTGTTGCTTGAGAAAGGAATTGTATCACAACACTCTTGCCCATATACGCCACAAAAAAATGGGGTTGCTGAGCGTAAAAACCGTCATCTTTAGAATATCACTCGTACTTTATTGATTGAGTCCTCTGCTCCATCTAAATATTGGGTTGAAGCTTTGTCTACTGCTGTCTATTTGATTAATAGACTTCCATCTAAAGTGTTAAACCTTGAGTCTTCATATTATCGTCTTTTTCACAAGCATCCTAGCTATCATAGTTTTCATACATTTGGCTGTGTTTGTTTTGTGCACCTGCCTCCTTCTCAACGCAATAAACTCTCTGTTCAGTCTATTAAATGTGATGTTATGGGCTATAGTACTTCGCAAAAAGGATTTATTTTCTATGATCCAAGTTCTAACAAATTTCATGTTTCTAGAAATGTTATTTTCTTTGAGAATCAATATTTCTTTTGAGGATTTTTCATTGTCTTCTAAGCGGTTCAAACCAGGATTTGCGTATGAACGACGTCGGGCAACTTTACTGTAACACCCCGTATTCGAAACAGATCAAAAATGCAGATTTTGAGAAGTTTCAGGTGCAACCCACGGTTGCCATCCACGGACCGTAGGTCAGACCACGGCCCGTGCTGGTGGTCTGTGGTTCAATACTGAAACCCCTCCCAGACCTAGCTTAGAAGATTGGCAAAGTCCCGACTCACGGACAGACCCACGGTCCGTAGATCAGACCCGTGGTCTGTGTCCGTGGATCGAGACTTCCCTTACCCAGCCTCTGACACAAACTACGGTCGACCAGCACGGACCGTCATTCGATCCACGATCCGTAGGTCTGACCGTAGATGAGGGTCAGCAGCCAGTTAGCTGAAAATTATTGATGGGTCAACTTCATATGGTCATAATTTTTAGCACAAAAGGAATTGTGTGTCTCATGACCTATGGTATGATAGATAATTGAATTATCTTTCCAACGCCACCAAGTTTGCTAAATTACGACTTCCGAGTAAAAAGTTATGCTCATTTTAGTGAAGCCCTGTCGGGCAGACTCAACCTATGGACCCAATCGACGGTCCGTCGATGGATTGACGGCCCGTCAGTCCAAACCGTCGATCACTCCGACAGCAGTTAATTCAGGGGTCTTTTAGTCTTTTC